CAATGGTAGATCTGCCGCTCACTCAGTCTGCTGACGACCTCGCCAAGCTGCGCGTGGGAGGCGCCCCCAACGCCGAACAGGGCAACGCGGGCTTGGCAGAGCTTTCCGCCGCCAAGTTACACAAATGCGGCCCTGGACGAGGCTTTTTTTGAAAGGGGGGGGGGGGGGCGCAGCATAGGAGCAAGCAGGAGGCCATTGTCCGTTTCTCTGGCCAGGGCTCAGGGGCTGCTAATCGCCGTCTGCGTGCTTCTGCGTCTGAGTTCTTCGGCGGCGGAGCCGCTCCGTCGATCGGGGCGCTGGGAAGGGGGGGGGGGGGCTCTATGGGCTCGATCGCTCCAGAGGTTAATAAGCGCCTGAACGCGATCAAGAGTTGTTTTTCGGTCTTTGGGGAAGTTCTGGCCGACTCCAGGTATCTTATGTCGTTTCAAAAAGGTCGGTTTCGATGGGTATTCAGAATGATGGGGTTCAGAATCTAGAGGCCTACGTGGTGACAGAGGGCCCATGTAAGACAGTGGGTTCTCCTATGGTAAGATATTGTAGAGTGGTTATGAGGGGGGCTAGCTTCGAGGGCACCGCGCGCGTTCAGAGTCTCAGCAACGAGCCGGTGTTCAACCATTGGCGTCTCGCACCAGTCTACCTCGAGCTCAGGGTCCGTTGGCTGGGGCGGCTTGTATAGTTCATTCGCCGCCCCCCCGCGCGACATGCACAGATGCTTACAGCGTTGTTTGCTGAACTGCCATGTGATGACCGAGCGCAGTCCGACACCACGGGTCGCCTCGCAGCCTGTTCCAACCCGCGGGTGAAGCAGTTTTTCTACGATGCCCAGGCGCTGGAGGACATCGAGGACGGTCGTGCTTTGCTCGGGCGTCTGCAAGGCCCCTTCTTGGCATCCTGGCGAGACAAGGAGCTTGAAACAACGCTCTGTAAATTCGGCTTCTCCATGCGACGTCGTCGTCGTGCGGCCGAAATGCCTCATCCCGGGTTTGACGATCAACTTCGCACTATGCTGTCTACTGAAGTCGTCCAGGGTGGTGCTGTAAATGGGCCTGCGGGGTTTGCGAACGCAGATGCGATCCTGGTGATATTGTCGGTCGTCGGGTTCGATGCGATGCGAAGTTCCCCGGTAAGAAGTCTGCGCTAGCACGCTTGCGACGCCGCCATCATTATCGTTCCTTGGGGCACGTCGTATGCAGAGCTAACGAATGTCCTAATTGTCTTGGGCTCTTTGCAGGGGTGATTGTGGCTGCCAGGCACCTCGTGGGCCCCATGAATCGGGAGGTGCTGCGTCGCTGGGGGTGGTAGGTCTCAGGCGCGCCGACTTCTGATCAGCGGGGTTTGCTTGCCCTCTCTGCGAATGTCACGCATCGGACACATGACTTCCGCTAGTTACATATCCGTAGTCATCTTCCCCGAGTTCTCGGCTTTGTAGACTCTGCGCGTACGTGGCCTTGTGCTCCGCCGCCTTCAGCTCGAGTGCACTCAACCGATGGGGCCAATGCCCAACGCGGGGCAGTCGGTGCCCAAGTGGATGGCTCGCCCGGGCACGGGAGAGCAGGACGCCAAGCTGCGTCGACGCGGAGATGGAGCAGCAGGAGGTGGAGCTCAAGAGGGCCGTCAGGCCGTCCTGCGCAACGGGAAGAAGCAGACGATCGAGGAGCTCGTCGTCGTGCTGGTCAACCTGGCGCTCGCAGACGAGGGAGGGTTCAGGGCGCTCGTCGGCGCGGTCTACGTCGCGCGGCTGGTTCCGCTAGGCAGCCGGACAGCGCGATTCATGATCTGCGAGGGCCAGGTCTTCAACGCGGAGGAACAACGGGAACTACAGAAGCAAGCAGCGAAGAACGGCAAAGAGTTCACGAATATGAAGATGCACGCCCCACACCTGAGGGCCTTCGTGGCGCTGATCAAGGGGGCCGCCCACGAGGATGAGCCAGACGCCCTTCCCAAGGAGCAGTTCGCAGCGGGGGAGCACTGGGCGTCGGTCGCGACGAAAGCGGGGGGCCCAATCGTGCTCAGCGAGATCATGAAGTACTGCAAGGCCAAGCGACTCAAGACTAAGGGGAAGGACGACAATGAGATGGCCAAGGTGCAATTCCTGCTGGGCTCCAGCGGTCGCGGTAACCAGATCTTCTTCGCGGTCCGCCACTGTCTCAAGGTCGAGGGAGGGGGGAAGATCGTCGGCGCGGCCCCGCGAGGGGTGCTTGTGAGGGAGGCGCAGCGTCTTCTAGACCTTTGCAAGTCGGAGGCCAAGGGGGGTTTAATTGGGCCACCGTTTTGAGAGCTCAGCAACTTTTGAAGGCTGGGCACTGGGACGAGGATGTTAGCAGGAGAGTCTCAGTTCTGGCTGTGCGTAGGGCTCCTAGTATTCTCTCACCCTCTTTTAGTCCCTTGCCTCCTGGCCTCAGCGCTCCTGAGGCTGGCGCTGGAGCCCGCTCGACTCGTCCTCCTTTCCTGTCTATTTCCCTACTGCCCCAGAGGTAGGTCCAGCGATTCAGCTCCCCCCCCCCCAGATCTCGAAACCTTCGGGGCAAGGGTTCGAATTTTGAACGTGGCGCAACTTTGGCAGAGATGCTAGAGGTTAGCGCCTATGATGGCAGCCGCATACTGCGTGCCGTCGGGTCCGCCATCGGGCCAGTCCCCACGCCTAATTGGCCGTGGGGTTGCGCGGTGGCTACATCCTCCAGTCCGCCAACTCGGCGAACCCAGACGTTTTTTTTATATGATATATATATATATATATGTATTATTGTGTTTCTTTTTTTTCGCAGTTTGTGTGTATATGGGCGAGGGCGTGCATTGCCGTGCTCGGAGGGATCGGCGCCCCAGAGTTTTATCTTTTCTTATATCCTCCTCCTTTTTCTCCCCCTCCTGTTACGGACCTTCTAGATGAGGCCAAAGGTTCGGGCGATGCCAGGACGAGGATAAATCCGTTCCAGAGCGTTCTGGAACGCTCTCAGAGCGTTCCAGAACGCTCTGAGAAGACCGCCGTGCCCTAGACACTTCCAGAGCCGCCGGATCTCAGAAATCCCGATTCATCTTCACTGGATTTGATCCTCATCTTGGTCTCGTCCTGGAGCATCCAGACACCTGAGGGTGTGATTTGTTATGGGTTCGTGCGCGGCCCCATGGCTGCAGAGGTTCCCGAGTGTCTTGCCCTGGGGAGAGTTATAAGGCCGCCCGGGATCCACTTCTGATGGCCCCCCGGGGCCCGACAGCCGGTCCCGGGGGGCCCGCGGAGGAGGAGCAGAAACGCCGTGGCCGAAAACACACCCGTGGAGTATGGCTGAGAGTCACAAAGCATCCTCCTCGGCAGGACCACCAAGAAGGGGACGTCAAGGGGGTGCATCAAGGGGGGCGTCAAGTCAGGCGATCGCAAATGTGGGTCAAAGGGGCGTGGAGTAGCGACGGGTTCCGTTTCCATTGGAAATCGCGCATTTCCGCCGCCGATCGAGGCGGCACAGGCCGCATTGTGAGGAGGGTGCATCCCCCGATCCATGGATCGTGCGACCGCGCGCCACTCCGTGGATCGCTGATCCATGTTTGCGCGCCCCCCGAGCAAGGGAGTGCACCAGGAGTGGCTGTTACAGGGCACGGTGGAAGCGCGCAGAGTGGTTGCACATCTTGACGCCCGTGCCTGGATGTCTGCAGACCTGACCCTTCGGCCGTGCACGAACCATCGTCGGAGATCTGTGTACACCGATCCTGGGCTCAGGATGGGCGGAACTCCAGGCCTCCCTGATCGGGTCGGAATATAATCCGATGTGGTCCGAGGATCGCTCCGCATCGCCGATGGATCGGCGATGCGTCTCGATGCGGAGACCGATGTTCTCCACGCCGGCCGCGCCGATGCGTCGCGGGTGCATCGCCTATACATCGCCGATGTTTCGGCGATGCATCGGCGATGTGGCGCGATCCTCCTACCCCACCTGCTCGGACTTCGACGAGGAGGAGGAGGAGGAGGAGGAGGAGGAGGAGGAGGAGGAGGAGGACAACTGTAAACCCAGGATGCGCAAACGATGTTGCAATAATTCTCCTCAGAGTCCCCTGCAAGGATTTATTCTCACCTAGGGGCGTGTCCCGTTGGAAGACAATCGTTTGAACATATTGAATCGTGCCAAAGTAATTCCTGTGACTGCAACGCCGCGAATCAACGTTATTGTTGCGTCCTGACGATCATAAGTCGTGCCAGAACACCGTTCCTGGTTTTTCAATACCGCGGATCTCATGAATGTTGCGCCCTGACAGTCCTACACCGTGCCAAAACTCAATCTCTAGGACGTCATTGCAACTGACGTAAACGCTTAAGACGAATGTGCGCGACGCTAAAGTGGGAACCACAGTTTGAACAGCAACCGCCCTCCTTCCGTGAAGCTCTAGCAACGTTTGCACGACGAATATGCGCGCGGCCCAGGCGAGAGCCACATTTTGAGAAGGAATTTCCCTCCATCCGTGAAGCTCTCGCGAACCTTGAAGACGAGTGCGTGGCGCCAAGGCGAGAGTCACATTTTGAAAAGGAACCGCCCTCCATCCGTCAAACACTTGCGAACTTTGAAGACGAATCTGAACGACGCTCAGGCGAGAACCACAGTTTGCAAAGGAACAGCCCTCGATCCGTGAAACGCCTGCACACTTGTATGACGAATGTGCTCGGCGCTGAGGCGACTGACACATTTGTACACTCACCCGCCCTCCATCTTGTGCTCAAGTTTCAGGATGATCAATGGTGTAAGGCGAAACGCCTGGCCTGTCCCACCGACAGACAAGTCTCGGGGTGCGACAGGGAGGAGTTGCTTATAAGGCAAAGGAATGATGGAGAAGCAGGAGGAGGACGAGGAGGTGGAGGAGGAGGAGGAGGAGGAGGAGGAGGAAGCGGGGAGGGGGAGGAGGAGGGGGGCTGGGGGAGGGGGAGGGGGAGGCGAATTGGGACGGGGATGGGGGAGGCAGGGAGGTCGAGAGAGAGAGAGAGGATCGGTGAGCGTCGGTCAGCTGACGATGGCCCCGAGCCTCGGCCGCCGCGCAGCCGGACGCCGCCGGCGTGGCGCGCTCGCCGGGCAGCGCCCACGCTGCCCCGAAGGGCTCCTCCGCGCGGCCCTCGCGCCTGCTGTCCACCCGGGGGCGACGAGACCTCAAAGGAGGAACAGGTACTTGGGCCGCGATCCTGGCCTCGTTTTCGCCCTATTGGGCCTCCTCCTTCTCCTCTTCCTCTTCCTGGCTCCTTCTGCCTCCTCCTCCTCCTCCTCCCCCTCCTCCTCCTCACTGGTGATGGTGTCCTCACGCAGTCAGCGCTGGATCGTTGCTATAAGCAGTGGGCCAACTTGGCCGAGTTTGAACTCGAAGCTGAGGCGGGAGTTGAACTTCCCAAGAGAGGTCTTCGCGGTGAGATCCCGAGGATCGTCTGGCGTTCTGTCCTGGACCACGACATGCGGACCCCTCGGAACGCGGAACTCTTTGCCATGAGGTGGTTGTGGCAGCGTTTCCAGGTACTCATGTGTTTCTTAACTGATGCTAAGGCGCCTGACCTGACTGAGGCTACCTCGGCCATTATCTCGATGCCCGACGGTGTGGCCGTGGCTCAGGGCGCTCGGCAAGACCTCTTTGCTCTTGTGCTTGAGTTTGCTGCCGAAGCCGGCGCTTTAAACAGGTCGGTGGCCATTGAAAGGGGTGACATTCTAAAGTCCGAGATACGTGTCCAGCTTGACAGGTGTATTGAAGCCTCTCGTGCTGCCAGCCTGTCTTCTTGGAAGCTATGGGTTCTGGAAGGCTATGCGCATGGTGCCAAACGGGCCCATCTTACCACCAAGGACCCCAAACCTTTTGTTCCCACTTCTGTCCTGGCCGCCGACGGGCGTGTCGTGAGTGACCCCCACAACCTCCTCAGTGAAGAAGCTGCTAGATTCAAAGCGTTGTGGAAGGCCGACGTTGTGCCGCCGGCCCCCCCCAAGCTTTTTGTTCCTGCCCCTGAGCTCCCACCAATCACGGTTGACGACGTCCGTGAGGTGTGTGGTAAGCATAGGGTTTTTTCGGCGGTTTCTACTGATGGTTTCCACATCCGTCAGTTCTCTTGGCTCTCCGTGGACTGCCTTCGAGCTCTGATTTTGATTATGAAGATCATGGAAGTGTCGTCTTTTCTGCCTTCTCAGATCCAAGTTGTGATTCTTCACCTCATCCCTAAGGCCCTTCCTGGTCTTAGGCCGATCGGTCTTTTTGGGGGGCTTTACCGCGCTTGGGCTAAAATTCGTCGCCCCCTCGCGCTCGCTTGGGAAGAGGAGAATTATCGAGCTTGGTTTGCTGCTGGGCGGTTCATGGGAGCTGCCGACACTGTCTGGAGGCAGGCCCTCCGCAGCGAGGGTGGTGTTGCCTCTGGACAGTGTGCCTGCACGCTTTTATGGGACTTCCAGAAGTATTATGAAAGTATCGATTTACATCGGATGTTGGCGCGTTGTGCGCAGCACAGGTTTCCAATTGCTATGGCCAGGCTGTGTTATGCCGCTTATCGAGGTGCACGGCACCTCGCCCTTTCAGGTTTCATCACTTTGGCGTACTACGCCGAGCGCGGGATCATTGCTGGCTGCTCTTTTGCGACGACCCTGATCCGGGTCAACAGCCTGGACAGTTTGGACAAGATCGTCTGGCCGGTCTGCGTCACGTATGCCCTTTACATAGATGACAATGCCCTTCACGCTATTGGACCGGAGGCGGAGGTCGTCGATTCTCTGGTCAGTGCCACTCGCCAGCTGCACGTTGCCGTCACCGAGGGCATCGGGGCCACGCTGGCGCAGGACAAGGGTGCTTTAATCTGCTCTTGCAAAAGAATGGGGGTTAAAATCCAAGAACTTTTGGGTGAGTGTTTGACGGGTCCTCTTGTGTCCTCGGCCCCCAACCTTGGCGTTGATGATGCGGTAGGCACCCCAGTTAGACACTTCGGTAGGAATGCCAAGGCTAAAGCTCGTCAGGCTGCCGCCTCCCGTCGAGGCAAACGCGTTGGGAAACTCGCCAGAACGATCGGACGTAAGGCTCGAAATGTCTGGTGCTCCGGCGTCTTGCCTGCCTCGACCTACGGGGTCGAAGTGCACGGATTGAGTGACTCGGAGCTCTTGGCCCTGCGTCGTTCGTTTGCTAGTGCCATCAAGCCTTCGGCTGGGGATCGTAGTCTCGGCATTTTACTTCTGCTCGAGCGTGACCCCACCTGGACCGCCCAGGTGGCGCCCATTTGTAGGTGGCACAAGGAGCTCTGGCATAGTCATTTGGCTGTCCACCCCTCCATCTTGAATCTTCGTGAGTGTAGGGTTGCCTGGGAAGCCGTTTTTTCCAAGGACTCGAAAACCTGGAGGAGTGTGGCTGGGCCTATTTCGGCGATGAGGAAGAGTCTCGAGCGCATCAGTTGGCAGATGCCCAACTTTGCCACGCTGATCGACGATCGCGGCATGGAGATCCCGCTCCTCGCGATGTCTCCAGCTCTGGTTCGCCATCTTTTGAGAGACGCCGTTTTTCGCCAACTGGAATGGGACATTGGAGCGAAGCTTGGGTACAAGGGGAGGGCTTGCTTTGACGTGGTGTCTAATTGTTTGGCCAGCAAGCGTTTCTCCCCGGCTGAGAAGGGCACTATTCGAGCTCTTGCCACGGGAGCCATTTGGTGTCGTACCTACGCCCGGTCGAAAGGCTACATGTTCCCCGAGATGTGTGAACTTTGCGGTGCTGCTCGGGATACTCTTTTTCATCGTCTTTGGGTTTGTCCGTGTCTTGATAAAGAACGTCGAGAATATGTTGATGCTGATGTGCTTGCAGGCGTGAAGGAATTTGCTTCGACGAAGTCTCGGTTTTCAACTTTGATTCGAGGTGGTATGCCGCACCCTGCTGACGATCACCCACCCCCGCTCACTGAAGGCGCATGGCAGGTTGACTGGAATCAAGATCCTCCTCCGCCCCAGCCTTTAGCGATCCAGGGAAAGGTTTTTATTGACGGTTCTGCTTCGCGGCACCCTATCAGGGAGCTCAGCCGGGCTGCTTGGAGTGCCGCCATGTTTTCCGACGACGGCGTTCACCTGTGCACCATGCGGTGTCCCGTTTGGGCCCCGCTCCCGCAAACGCCCCAGGCTGGGGAATTCTCCGGGTTTTGGGGTGCAACTATGTGTCTTGTCGGGCCGTCAGAGCTCGTCACAGACTGTGCCAATGTCAAGCAGCAGCACGATGCGTCACGTGATCGCCAGCTCTCGTTCAAAAAGATGTACGCCGGCATCTTTGTGCAGCTTCTTGCTCGCCCCGAGAGGTAACGCATCACTGCCGTCTCTAAGGTGCAATCTCATTTAAGTTTGAACGAAGAGGGCATCTCCGAAGAGGAATATGCCCGGAGGTTCGGTAACCATGTCGTCGACCTCGGTGCTAAAGCGGCTCTCCTCGCTCATCCTAGAGACGAAGGTGTCTTGGAAGAAGCTGATATCCTTGTGAAATACGCACATGCCACCTGTAAGCTAGCTGCTAAACTTTTGCCTTTTTTCGCCCCCCTGAAGGCCTCGAAGGATATCCTTTATGTGCCTCAGGGCGCGGGCCCCCAGGGCCCCACTGCCCCAGGCCATCGTTGGGAGCAGTGGCGGGGAGCTTGGCGGTGCTCAGTCTGTCTTCGTGGTCAGCGATCCTCGGCTAAGCCGGCTGCTGGACGTTGCCCGAATGATTCGAAATTGCACGCTTCGCGTCAGGACGCCCTGGGTCATCACACTGTGGCTTTCGATTGTTCTGATGGATCGGTCTTGTTCATTTGCACGCGCTGCAAATGCCATTCCACGGGTGCGTCAGTCAGAGGTCTTGGCGAGGAGTGCCGTGTCCCGCCCACTCGTGCTGCCATGTATGGGTGGAACGCTCTCGCCAAAGGCCGCCACCCACACTATTCTCGATCGAAGCTCGGTGTCATTGTTGAGACAAACTGCTGCATTCCATGTTTCAACACTTTTGTTGAGGAGTCTGATGATGCCGTAGGTGCACCAGCTGACCCTCCTACTGGTGAGCCTCCTCCTGTCTTGCTCGCTGTGCCAGGACACTCTACTGAGCTGGACCCGCCTCTGGATGTCAGAAATCAGCCAGCTCAGGTACGACGTGCCCTTAAAATAGCGCCGGGGGGCCAGGTCGAGCCTGGGGACCAGCGCGATCTGGATTTTGATATGGAGGAAGAGGATGCTCGAACCTTTTTTGCGGATGTTGTTCGCCCCAGGGGTATTCCGTGACCTACCCTCGGGCGTCTCATCCTTGTACTGGTGAGTGCAATTTTTCTTGATGACCCTCTGTAGCGCCATGACAGTCGGTTTTTCAAGACCTCCAACGCGAGGAAAGAAGAGGTGGTGGTGTTCCCGCGGGGAAAAAAAAAAAACCTCCTCCTCCTCCTCCTCATCCTCCTCGTCCCAATCCCTCCTCCTCCTCCTCCTCCTCCTCCTCCTCCTCCTCCTCCTCCTCCTCTCAGAGGAGGAAAACGTACCCATACCGCTACCCTTCCCTCGTTTTCTCCTTTTGGGGCCTCGTCGCCACTGCTGGATTCCCCTCGAGGTGGTGGTCAGAGTGCATCCCAGGAGAGGTCCGGGGAGCAGCAGTATCGGTGCCTCTTGGTGTCCCCGGGGAGGGGGGGGGGCAATCAACGGGGGCTGAAGAAGCGTGCACCATGCGTGCAGTGGCCCAGCGGTGTCAGCTTGGGGGCCATTCGGGGCCCTTCTGGGGCCTATCTCGTGCCATCCTTGAAGGCCCCCGAGTTTACTGCCCCCCCGCTGCCGTTCGCCACTCCTGCGAGTGCCAGTCTGGCGCTGCGGCTTATCGACCTGCGCCCGGACCATCTGCCGGCTTCTCGAGGGAGGCGGGGCGGCCGATTGTTCGCAGATCGCCACCGTCACCCTCCAGAGGCCCGTGCCCGACCCCCGCTAGGGAGCCGTCAACAGAGAATCGGGGGTAGGGGGAGGGCGGAAGGCTTCTTAGCAGCACCCTGCTTCTTAGAAGGCGTGAGCCTTCTCTTCATGTGCAGGGCCGGCGCCTTCTAAGTCGCAGCCTCCCTCCAAGAAGCCTTCCGCCCTCCCCCTGCCTCCGTGCGCGCGCCGCCGCCAAGTCTCGAAGAGTGCGAGGTGGCGGCT